AGTACGTGGCTAAAGCTGGCAGCAAGAGCAATCATGATTCTAACCTCTGTAAAAGGTTTCCTAGTTTATAGGCCCTCCATGTCATTATTAGACTCTGCCCTCACCAAGGCCTCATCAAGGACACCAACAGAGTCCTCTTTTACAGATGAGGAGGCCCAAACTCAGAGACATTTAGCCACTCTTCAGTTGGCAAACGGCAGAAGCACAACTGAAAACCAGGTATCCTGAATCCCAGTTGGGTGAAGATGTAATTTGGAGGCAAAAAATGACCTTTTAACTGGGAGACCCAGAGAGAGGGCAGGGCTGGGGGGGAGGGGGTCAGGGTTGGTGGGAGAGTCTAGTTTCTGCAGCATATCAACCCTTAAATTAACAGAGAAGGAAATTATCACGAGGCTTTTTTTTTTAATTTTTTATCATTTTATTTTTTGAATCACTGTGAGAACAGTTACAAAGCTTTCAGGTCTAAGTCTCGGTCATACAATGAAACACCCGTACCTTCACCAGTGCCCATTCTCCACCCCCAACAACCACAGTATACCCCCATCCCTCACCCTCCCCCTATCTGTGGGGCAGATGATTTCCACATTACTCTCTCTCTACTTTGATCACATTCAATATTTTGACACCAGACCCACCATTATTATTTGAGATTTTACCCCAACACTCAGGTCTGCTGAAAAGGCAACAGTGGACAATTTGTTTTCTATTGCTGGTTATGACTAACATATGATGTCACGTGGCTGCAGTAGTGGCCGTGCAATTTTGAAATTCCGAAATTTTAACAATTAAATCTGGAGGGATTTCTACCAAAACTTGCTGGGTTCCGAGATTTGCTCCTGAGTCTCTGGGATCATGGCCGTTAAGCAGCTTGATCAAGAGCCAGAAAGGCCGTTCGTGGGTGATGACTTGGGGTCTTGTTGGGGTGGGGAGGACAGGACGGGCTCCACCCCCATCCCATGAGGCCCTTGCATGTCTCGTCACTGCAGGCCCAAGCCTGACTGTCCAACCATCTCTGGAGGATGGCAGTCACCGAGCCACCTAGTGGGAGCAGGCAAGGGACAGCACCCTTTCCCCCCCTGGGGTGGCCCAGCGACAGTAACCTACTGCAGGGTCCGGACACAATTCTGCCAAAAGCCACTGGGTTTCGAGATTTGTTTCTGAGTCTCTGGGATCATGGCCGTTAAGCAGCTTGATCAGGAGCCAGAGAGGCTGTTCATGGGCCATGACTTGGGGTCTCATTGGGGTGGGGAGGACAGGACAGGACAGGCTCCATCCCCATCCCGTGAGGACCAAAATGTCTCATCACTGCGGGCCCAAACCTGACTGTCCAATGGCCTCTGGAGGATGACGGCCACCGAGCCACCAGGAGGAAGCAGGCGGAGGGACAACACCCTTTCCTCCCTGGGGTGGCCCGACGACAGTAACCTACTGTGGGGTCCGGACACATTTTCTGCCAAAAGCCGCTGGGTTTCGAGATTTGTTTCTGAGTCTCTGGGATCATGGCCATTAAGCAATTCGATCAGGAACCAGAGAAGCCATGCCTCCAATTATATAGCTGAGCGGGAGGTGGTTTGTGGGTGTGCTTCCCACATACCTAACTTTTGGCCTTTTACTTTCTTGGTAAACTTTGCCCCAAGTTTTTGGGATCTGGTCAAAGGCACAGCAGCAATTTCGGGGTATCTGGAAGTCTGAAGGCGCCATCAGGTTCCTGATGCACTCGCCTCACAGGTACAGATTAACCTGCTGGCGGCACCATACCCCATCACCAGGCATTTTAAACCATGATACATTCATGCTCAGGACACCATGGGCTCCACTAACTGTGCTTCCAGATCTGAGGGTCTGCAATCTAGAAAGCAGACTAACAGAAACACATGTGACCTTGGAGGCCACCTACTCCAGTGGATCCACCAGTGACCTACAGGAGCAGTGAGAAAGGCATTTATGTCCCTTGTAAGGTTGGGGAGGTGTCATAGTGAAACTCTTAAGTGCAAGATTTAAAATAGAGACAATAAACAAGAGAAAATGAAAGAAGAAACACATACATCTAGAGAGGGGCTTGTGGAAGAAAAAATAATTTTATAAGTTCTTTTCGCTATTGTTTTGTCTGTTTGGAGGCCACACCTAGCAGCACTCAGGGCTTATTCCTGGCTCTGCACTCAGGAATCACACCTGGTGGTGCCCGGCTAGCCCTATGGGGTTCTTGGGATTGAACCAGGGCAAGCACATTATGTGCTGTACTATCTCTCTGGCCCCTTTTCTCTCCTTTTTTTTTTTTTTTTTGCTTTTTGGATCACACCTGGCGATGCACAGGGGTTACTCCTGGCTCTGCACTCAGGAGTTACTCCTGGCGGTGCTCAGGGGACCATATGGGATGCTGGGAATCGAACCCGGGTCGGCCGCGTACAAGGCAAACGCCCTACCCGCTGTGCTATCTCTCCAGCCCCTTTCTCTCCTTTTTAAATTTAAGAAGTAGTGGAATAGTTACTTTGCTCGGTAAGTAGAGTTGAGATTGTGAGATCTAGAACAGATACTTGTCCTCATCAGCACAGAGAACTATAAAGATGGGTGGGAAGCGGGGCAGGTACATGGCAGTGTCCAGAGACAAAGATGACTTTGAATAAGTGGAAGTTCAAGAGCGATTACGACCTGTCTTGACTCCTAGACTGTGTCTGAGTGTTCCACCCCCATGCTTTTAGAATGCTCATGCTCCTTATTTCAGAAACAAAAGAGAAGCAGCAAGTTGTGAAAGCTAGCCTGCAGTGGACAAAGAAGGCAGCTTGTGCCATGGTGAAGGAGAAAGTGGATAGGGACCTTGGTAAGAAGTCCCAAGTCATCCCAGTGTCCCCAGATTCTACACCAGCAGGAGAGCAAAGCTCACTAACCCAGAACCCTAATGGTTAGGGAATTTCCAGGTTGCTCTATCAAACCCGAATTCACCTGCTGAGTTTCAGACGAGTGATTATTCTCAATATAAAAATTCTGTTGAGCTCAACTAACATATAAACATTTCTTAATATTTCAATTCAGAGGCCAGCCAGGTAGAGACCTGTTTATCTCTGTTAATTGTGTTTACTCAAGTCATCCTTTGTGACCCTAATTAGAGAAACAGCAGCAGAGAGCCACTAGGAGTCTAGGGTGAATAAGAAATAAAGATTCCCTATTCTCGAGTTTTTGGGTCTTTGTAAAAGTCCTTGGAGATGAGTTGCTGGTAGGAGCCTGAGAGTGGTGAATTTTGACTTTCTGAAGCTGCTAATTCTTGATCGCCTTGGTTTTGAATTGAAACAATGACAAAGAGTGGCGTGGGTGGTGTGAGAAATTAAGGATTTTTATAATGAGCATTATAATTATTACTGGTGCCAATATTTGCTCATCTCCCACATATACAATATCCCCTTCTCTGTTCTAGTCACGTATTAACACATTTAATACAGCTACATGGTTAACCCCTAAAAACAAGGCACTGGTTCCCAAATTTATTTCACCTCCTGCCTCCTTTTTTAGGAAAAAGAATCATTCAAGCAGTACCTCTGGAAATACCTTAAGCAAACAAAGAGAAAGCACCTCCAATTGTACCCAAAGCTACCTGCCATCTTTTTAATGTTCCAGCTTGCCCCAGGCTTTAAGAAACAATTTAGCTAGATGAAGAGCTGACCCGAGGTGTATTCCTTCGCCCCAAATCCGATAACATCTTCACTTCTGGAGTAACTTTATTCATCCTACTTGATTTCGCTTTTACTAATAACCCCTGACCCCTTTCTACTGCCTCGGGAATGACAGCAGTCTTGAAAATTCCTGACTTAAGGGGTGTGACAAACTGGAACTCATTGAGATTCTTACCTATTAATCGTGATTTAATTAAAAACAAAGTAAAGGCCCTCCCGTTGATCATCGATTTGCTCGAGCGGGCCCAGTAACGTCTCCATTGGAGACTTTGTTGTTACTGTGTCTGGCATATCCAATACTCTCGGTAGCTTGCCAGGCTCTCCGAGAGGGGCAGAGGAATCGAACTCGGGGTCGGCCATGTTGGCTGCGTGCAAGGCAAATGCCCTACCGCTGTGACCCGAGTTCGATACCTCCGCCCCTCTCGGAGAGCCCGGCAAGCTACCAAGAGTATCTCGCCCGCATGGCAGAGCCTGGCAAGCGCCGGGTGAGGTACTCGATATGCCAAACACAGTAACAACAAAGTCTCCAATGGAGACGTTACTGGGCCCCCTCGAGCAAATCGATGATCAACGGGAGGGCCTTTACTTTACTTATACTAATTAAAAACAAAATGCTTTGCGCAAGATGAGTCATTGAGACCCAAGAGATAATGCAGGGATAAGACCCTCCATTGCCTTGCACGGGGCAGGCCCAGGTTCCATCCCTGGCACGACGAAAGGTTTCCAAAGCATCACCAGAGTGAGCCCTGAGCACCATCGGGGACCCCAAAATCGCACCCCCCCCAAAAAAAAGATACGTGTCATTGAATAACAGGAACAAATAGTACGCAAACGAGAAAAAGGGGGTGCACTGAATGACTGGGGCGGGCCAGCTGCTGCGATCCAAATAAGGCAAGAACGCAGCGCGCTGACAGCGGGCAGATCGGGTCGCAAGCTTCCCAAAGCCCGGCACGGGTGCGCTGGACCGCCAGCAGGCGGACGTGCGGGACCGTTTCTCCGAGGAGCAAGAACAGCTTCGGGCTCCGGAGGTCCGAGGACGTCCTGCGGGAAACCGGGGCCTTGTCCCAGGGTCCCTCCTCTGGAGGAGCGGACCAGGCGGGGGATCCCTGGGTAGCAGCGGAGACGCTCGACGCAGATGCCCCGCACAGGGCGCTGTACGTGCGCCCTCAGCATGACGTAGGCGGTGCACCCGGGCGGCGTGCGGGCGGAAGTGTGCGCGTGTGTGGGCGGAAGTGTCCGGGTGTGTGGGCGGAAGTGCGCGCGTGAGGCCGGCCGCCCGGCGAGGTTCCCCGCGGCAGGGCGCCGCCTGCGCCCCCGCCCGCGGGCTGGCGCGGAAGTGACGACAGCAGCCGCGGAGGTCACTTCCTGCTCGGGTGGATGAGGAGGAGCCGGCGACGCCGCGGAGGAGACGGGACCGACGAGCGACCGCGCCGGGGAGAGGTGAGCGCCCTCGGCCTGGCCGCCGCCGCCGCCGGGGCTGCCCGGTGCGACCCCGGCGTCTCGGCGGAGTCGGCGTCCCGGGGGCTCGGGGCCGCCCGCGGGCTCCGCACCCTGCCGGCAGGGCCTGCGCGGGGGGCGGGGAGGGAGGCGAGCCGGCTGTGCGGGGCGCCGGGGGGGACCCGGGCGGCGTGGGTGCGGCGGCTCCGCGGAGCCCCGAGCGGGGCGGCTGACAGGCGGCTGCGGCGGGCCGGGACCGGCGTGGCTGCCGGGGAGCCGCGGGAATGGTCGTCATCCGAGCGCGGGCGAGCGAGTGAGCGAGCGAGCGCCGGGCCGGGGCGGAGAAGCCGCGTGTGGAGGATGGACGGTCCTCGGCGCGCGCGCCCGGCCGCCGGCAGGGACCCTCCCGGGCGGGCGGTGCGTGTGCCGCGGGGCTGGGACCCCGGCGCGAGCCCGTGAAGGGCACTGCGGGCCCGGGACAGCCCGGCCGTCGGATGCGCCGGAGAAGCGAGGGGGCCGGGGGGAAGCTTCCTGCGGTGGGGGTGGGAAATGAGTGCTTTTCCTCCCTCATTGTCACCGAGATGGGAGCGGGCGCCGGAGGAAGCTGCCACTCGGCTCCGGGGTTTGTTATTATGTACGGCGGTGTGTGTTGTGTTTGTGTGTGTGTGAGAACCCTCTCTGTCTGTTTTCCTCCTCCTGGGGTACCGAGCTCCTCCTCCTCCTCGGTCTCTGCTCTCTTTGTAGACCGAAACTCGCCCGCTGAAGTTCAAAGGAGCCAGAGGGATCTTGGGGTGGGAGAGATTTCCAAGATTAAGGATTTTTTTTTTACTCCCCCCACCCCCACCGTGGAGACCTGCATTCCCTCCAGGCTCCTGCTAATGTGGGTGCTTAGAGCCTAGCGGCCTCCCTGGGGGAGGGGGGGGGGGGTGCTCTGCCCCCTCCCGCCTGCGTCTCCTCTGCCAGTTTCTTCCATCCCTCCACTTCCCTTCCCTCCCTTTTCCCGAAGGATCCACTGACAAGGCTGCTTGCTGCTGGGAACAGTACGTTTGTGGAAGGATTGTGAATCTGGAGGGGATGAATCAGACCCCAGCAAGCATCCCTCCACCGCCTGAGCTGAAGATTCTCAGAATGCCCCCTCCCCCCTCGACCTTTTCTTCCTGAGAAAGGGATAAACAGAAAAGGTTTTCTGCGGCAGAATTGTGGCTCTTGCTAGAGTGACAGCCCCAGTGTGTGTGTACTTCCTATCTGTATCCCAGGTATTCAGTGGGGAATGCTTTTCCTTCTCCCATCTCACAGTCCCGTGAAAGGAAACAAGATTAGATGTTCATCCTTGAATGGCAATCAGATTTTTTTTCTTTATTCCCCATTCTTTCCAAAACTGGGAGAACACGGGCTTGTATATCTTGGCCGCGGGGCTTGTCTAGTAATGGAAGACAAACTGGCGGACTTGTTTTGGCTGCATTTTTAGAACCTGTCTCACTGTCCCCTTCCCTTTTCTTATTTGAAGGGCTGGTCAGGAGGAAGAAGGCAAATATTAAAGACAGTGTTTACACTTTGTGGCTTAAAGTCAGGTGAAAGATAATTGCAGCCTTTGAGGCAGATGACCTGAGGACCATCATTTGATGACTTGGGGATTAGCAGTTTGGAGGTGACATGTGTGAAAGACAGAGAGTTACATAAGGAGGCTAAGATGCAAAAAGGAAGTTTGGGAGAAGGCGAGAAGGGAGAAGGAGGAGAACAAACAAATCACACCTTAATGTCATTAATGTGACTTGTCTCTCTCACAGGAGGGTGAAAATGAAAGCAGGCTGTAGCATCGTGGAAAAGCCAGAAGGAGGTGGAGGTGAGCCCCAGTTGATCCTCTCTGGTGTGCCTGGGTTTCCCCTCCGCAGGGCCTTTCTCCCCACCTGGACTCTGTTCACAAATGCCAGGCCACACCTGACACCTCTTGACCGGGTGGATACTGGTCTCACAGTTGAGGGCTCATTTCCTGTGTATATTTAACCTGTTAACCACACCCTCATCCATGGCGTCAGCTTTCCTGCTAGAGACACAACATCAGCCTTGGGCGTCACAGCTTTCCATCTGAGTTTTCCTCAATCATTGGCCCCACTTTCCTATTCATTCCCTTGGGAACTTTTGTGCACCCTCAAAAGTAGGTGTGTGATTTCCAAAACCAGAATAAGGGTAAAAGTGAAGGACAGCCAGGTAGTGCTCTCTGACTCTCACATTTAACAATCACCGCAAAGATCAGTGCCTTGCCGGTGCGTTTCTCTCACCTGTTGTGGTTAGACCCAAAGGACTGAAAGGGTGTTGTTGGCATGTTTGCACAGCATTCGAGAGATCCCGAGCCCGGGAATGTGAGGGGTATGTGTCTCAACTCTCACTGTCTTGCTCTTTCCTTCTCTGCATTGAAGGGTATCAGTTCCCGGACTGGGCCTATAAAACAGAGTCGTCCCCGGGCTCCCGGCAGATCCAGCTGTGGCACTTCATCCTGGAGCTGCTGCAGAAGGAAGAGTTCCGCCATGTCATCGCCTGGCAGCAGGGAGAGTACGGGGAGTTCGTCATCAAGGACCCAGACGAGGTGGCGCGCCTTTGGGGCCGCAGGAAGTGCAAACCACAGATGAATTATGACAAGCTGAGCCGGGCCCTCAGGTGAGGGAAAGGATTCCCATATCCGCGGTGTTAACAGCTTAGAAGGAGACTAAGCGGTTTGATGAATGTCAGGGTTTTTTTTTTTTTTTTAAGGTATCAGGTGATCAGAGACTATACTAGCTTCGTGAATAATGTGTAGCTTGAAAGTGGGTGGAGAAGAGCTGTTTAATCCGAGTAGCACAGGCCCCGGAGGAGAAAAGGCATATCTTTGGTTATATGTAGGAGGGAATTCCAACGAGGCTGGCACTGGATCCTGACAGACAGCCGATTCTGCTCCGTGGTGGGCGGGAGTGTATGGTGAAACACAGATCGGAGCTCATTCTCTAATCCAGAGGATTAGTTGAGACTTCCCTGTTGGAAATAATATTAGACTTGCTCCCCTTTCGGCACTCCTGGAAGAAACTAGAAAGAGTGAGGCGAACACAGGAGGTTGGTGTGCTGTGTAGAACCAATCAAGTCTGCAGGCTTGGTGGTCAGTCCATATATGGCTCCAAAATGTCCAAACCTGGTCACGTGAAATCTCTGCAGGTTATCTTTCCCCCCGTCAATCACTTCATTTCATAGTCCCTTAGCCCCTCAAGGGGCCAAAAAGCAGTTTCTAGGCTGTGCTGCTGGCTAGATTTAAGGGCTGCAAGTTCCAGGTCAGTGGAAGTGCCCCTTCTTTCTTGGATTCATGGTGGCCCAGAAGAGAAAAACCATGAAGTCGCTTTGCTGGGGCCTCTCATGGTCCCCCTGAGCATGACACAGGCCAAGCTAGCTTCTCTCTTCCAAGTCAGCATGTAGCCTGGTTTGACGGAGACACCTCTCCAATCCTTGCTCTATGCTTTAGACCTAGGCTTTCACACTGACCAGGTCCAGTCTTTCCAGAAACCTGTCTGCCCCCACTTCAGCAAAGCCAAGAAATGCCATCTAATCTTTCCACCAGACTTTGTGGAACAGGGAGGAAACGAGTGGAAAAGAATTGAAAACGTAGAGTCACAGAGAAGTGGTGCTAGCTAGGATAGGTGCTAAGGAGCAAAAGATGAGACTGTGAGCCAAGGACTAAAATGTGGTTGGAAGGTATCATGGGAAAAGTCAGCCCCCCCCCCCCCCCCCCCAGCCCTAACCCTAACTTAACCTCGGGCAAGGTTGCTGAAGAAGGATAGTGGGGACTTAAGAGTTAATTGTGTTTACCTGAGTAGGCACTTCCACACCCCTGCATAGAGGGAGGGTGCCTTCTGTTTATTGTCTAAAGAAGATAAATTTTAGGAGTTGGGGGTACACTGGCTGATTTTCCCCTCTCCCCAAAAGGGATGGTAGGCCAAGTAAGTTGGGGATCTTCTGACTACAAGCAAGAAGTGTTGCATTTACTGGTTACCTAAGTTAGTCAAAGCCTGGCCATATCTAGAAAGTAATTTGACCTACATTCCTATTTTTATAGATACTATTACAACAAGAGGATCCTTCATAAAACAAAAGGAAAAAGATTCACTTACAAGTTTAATTTCAACAAGCTGGTGATGCCCAACTACCCATTCATAAACATTCGGTCAAGTGGTAAGATGCAACCTTTACTCAGTGGACAGTCTTTTGAGTGAAAAAGAATGGTTGGACCGGGAAAGTAGCTGGAAGGGCTGCTGGAGCTCCTGCTCTGCAGGCTGGTGTATCTGGGTTTGCTCTCCAGCACTGACCCCACCCAGCACCGGCGGGCACTCTTAAGGTGGGGATCAGCCCCTCGGTATTGCCTGGTATGGCCTCCAAAATAAATTTTAAACCCCAAGTCAAAACTTAGTGTGTGCAGGGGTTGTACCAACATTCAAGTACCGGTGGTTCCTTGGATTGCCTTACTATTCTGGAAGGTTTTCCAAGTTTTGCAGTGTAGGGTATGATAGGCACTGTGCCAACCATTGTGAGGTTTGTTCCATCTGTGTATGTTTGGTTCCCTTTTTGCTTGCAGTCTTACTGTCTTCTGTAGGAACGATGTTCCTTGTGTTTAGATTGAACTTTTAAATTCAAGACCTAAGAGTTTCAGTGCCCTGCCCAGTGTCTTTCACAGAAGCAAACCTTTTCTACAAACACTTCCGATTTTCTATGAAACTACAAGCTCTCTCTTATCAAGTGAATGTCATCGAAACCACAGCATCCTCATCACAAAAAGGGAGGTTTATATGTTGCAGTGAAAAAGCAGCGTCTTTGATCTGCACCAGCAGCTGAGAGCCAGACTCAGCCCAGGGTGACTTGGCCCTTCTATCCCCCAGTGCCCCCATTCTTCCCGCCCCACCCTGGGTAACAGCTTCCTATTTTCCTGGATGTTTTAGATCTTTCTGGAGGTTCTCTTTATCCAGAAAGCAAAGTCGGCCTCTGACAGGTTCTTTTATTTACTTTTTTTAATACTGGTTTTGTGTTCTTCTAAGGGTTCATACCCCTGGCCTCAGATAATAGATCGTATTTAAATAGTTACTGATCAGTTCATTAGTACAGTGTCTCTATAGTTTTGTGTGTTAAGGCGAAGAAGAGATTTGTGACTCTGTCCTGTTGCAACTTCAGGAAATGTTGGAAGAAACCTGAAAAATTAGAGCGGGGGTGTGGCTGAGAGAATGTAGCCTTGCTGAGATCCACTGCAGATGTGTAATTACTACACAACAAGTCAGGGCAGTTTGGTTTGCGCTATCATTACAGTTCCATCGCTGCTCCTGGAGACACTCCCTCCTGTCCCTGGGGCATGCATTTAAAAAAAAAAATGAAGTGGTATTGGAATGTGTCTCTCTAATTACAACCTGTTTTCTTTCCTTGTGCCTGAGGGAGAGGCGTTAGGAAATCAAACCTGTTCTAGCCCCTGGAATCTCATTTCCTCTAGTTTTCACTCTTGCCCCTCCCTGTATGCCTAGAGGAATTGGGACTCAGATTTTTAAAGCAGTTTTTGAAGAATGTTGATTTTCTGTACCTCCGCCTCCATCCCAAAGGCTTTATTGGTCTTGTCCTCTGTCCTGGACGACCCATTTTATCTATGAAAACCTCAGGAATTCAGCCACTTAGCCTGGAGTGGAGCTCCACATACCCCTTGGGGGTGGGGTGGGGCTGGTAAATAAGTTCTTGGTGGTGAAGGAAATCTGGGCCTTCTGAAAATTGTGGTCTGGAAACTTAACTATGGTGGCCTAGCTTGCCTCCTTCTGCCTGAAGGCAATTTAACCAACCTTGATCCTTAACTAAGCTCCAGATCCTAATCAGAAAGTCACTGGGAAAGCAAAACAGTACCCACAAAATAACACTGCTGTTTACATCCTGGATGCTGCTAAATCCAAAGAACCAAGTCATTAGTTCTTAGAGAACTTTTACCCAGAGATCAAATGTTCCAGGTTATCTTTTATGATGACAAAGGAATGTAAGTTTATTGAGCCATGTTGTATTATCTGTTTAATTGGGGACGTTTGCTTAGTGTTGTGAATAATCTCACTATTTGCCTGGTAAAGTTTCAAGATTCACATTTTAAAGAATCTAAGATTAAGGATGATGGCAAAATCAAAGATTGGTTAAAATAAATTGAATACAGTTATTTGTTGAGTAAGATTTTCAGCAAATAATTTCTAAGATACTGAGTTATTTTGGTCCTTATTAATAGATCCATGCAATCCTCCCTAGCATTAGAATTCATTTCAATAAATTACATTAAGCCTTGAAAAACCACCACCCTCCCCCCCAAAAAAAAATTATGGGGGGAGGGAGGGTGTTCTATCCTTTAAGGAACTTCACAGTTTCTCAGGAGAGCTAAAATGCTCAAGATTGTTGAAGTTGAAAACCTACTGGTGTATGATAAATCCCTTAATTAGGGCCCCACTGACTAAAAGTCTGTGGGCCAGGGAGATCCTTGTCTGAGATGGTGGTTGATAGTTGGGCTAGTTTAATCTGTTTTTTTTTTTTTTGAACACATGTGCTTCTATAGCAGCCAAATGCAGAGGTTTATAAAGAGAAAGTAAAGTGAATGAACGCTATCTCTTCCCCTCACAACTGTGCTTATTTTTACCAGTTTAGGGCGGAATACTTCCATACTGTTTAACAGTATCATCTTTCTTCATTGAAACATCCAATAAGATATGTTATTAAATGCATCTTAGTGTTGATTTGCATAAAAAATATTGAAAAGAGTGACTGGAGATGTAGTATGACTGACCTGGGTTCGATCCCTAACATCCCTGAGCTCTCCAGGAGTGATTCCTGAGTGCAGAGCCAGGAGTAACCTCTGAGCACCGCTAGATGTGGCCCAGAACAGAAAATATATGTGTATATATAATGTATATAGGAATTGTACAGAACACACTGACCAAAGGGTCACCCGGTGGACTAGGCAGTTCCAGGGTAGACCAGAGGCCACTCTGCCTCCCCACCCCCACCAGGGTTTTGTGAGTCTACCTTTTGGGAAACTTGAAACCTGCAGAAAATAGAGTGAACTCTCACATATCCTATCTAGCTAAATATTAACATTGTTGCACATTTACTTATCTCTTTCTATTTATAAATCATTTGTGATCTTTTTTAATCATTTGAGATTAAGTTACAGACATCATGACATTCACCCCTGTAAGCGTCAGCATGTGGCTCCGAGTACAAGGGCCTTTTCCATGACCACCCATGACACTACCACACCCAGGAAGTGTCACCTGGTGCTCAGGCTGTTAGCCAAGATCTAACTACTTTAGTTTTTATCTTAATGAGGCAACTGTTCCGCCTGTCACACAACTCAACAGTTGGTAGGAGTTGAAAATAGGACTTGAACCTAGGAAAAGGCCTTATTCCACTTTGCCAGAGGGGGGCGGTCAAAGACCCATTGGTTTTGACTACATCAAAAACAGGTTCCAGAAGTAAGATTCAAACACAGGTTTTCAAGTCTTTCTACCAGTGCATGTTGATGCTATGATGATGGTAAAAGCAGTGTTATTCAAAGTTGTTTTTTCAAATTAGTGAATTAATTTTTTTCCTAACAAACCACGGGTTTGCTCTCTCAATAGGGAAACTAAAGTAGTGCTACTACAGTTAATCAGTGACTAAGGGCACAGAATGCTGCCTCACCAGCATTACGTCTAGGTTTTACCTGCCTTCACTCCCTAGAAAGTCTAACATTTGGGAAATGTTTTTTTATGCTTTTATTTTCTGCAGATTTACAACATGCTACCTTAGTAAGGTCTTCTACTCCAGTTTTTTAAAAAAAACTCATTGTTTATTTTTTAATTAACAGCTCTTAGCACATAAAAGTGGTTTGTTTGCTTCGCTTTTGAATAAATGTATTCTAAGTTCAAAATTCAGGACCCAAAACAATCAGTAATAGGCTGATAGATTTTTGACCCAATACCCTCAACTTCCCTCAGATTTTATTTTTAAAGGAAGTCCTCTCTCTCTCTCTCTCTCTCTCTCTCTCTCTCACACACACACACACACACACACACACACACTCTCTCTCACACAAAAGAGAGTCATCCACGGGGGAAAATAGGCTTTTCCTAATTGTTTGATTAAGTGACTTTAGGAAAAGGAAGTAGTCCATCGAGCAGTTGGCCATGGACACCCGTTTGGGCATGTGACTCAGGAGTGATGGCACTCAGTCATCTGTGCCTAGGATCCAAGACTCTCCAGGTCCCCTGGGGCTTGTATGAGAGCAGGAGTATGTGGCTGCTGGTGGGGACAGATCTTTTTCCACCGGTTTTTGGTTCAGGGAGCCACCTCCAATGATGCTCGGGAGAGTGGAGGCACTAGGCCTGGGATACACAGGCAAAGCTCATGCTTTCCACCTCTGAGCTATCTCCCTGCCTCCCCCTCTCCCCCCCCACCCCCCCACCCCCCGCCACACACACACCTTGTGAAAATAGTTCTTAAGTATGCCAAGCCCTGTGTGCCTTTTGTCACATTTTTGTAGATCACCCTTCTTTCACTTACTTGACTTTTTCCTCTTTATCTCTGTTTGGGGAGTATAAGGAGCCTGCCTGGCTTCTAGAAGCCACTGCTACCTCCCAGAAACCCTAGGGCCCCTGAGGCCTCCCATGGTGTGTCTTTGCTATACTGTAGCAGAAGGACCTTTGGGGAAAGTTGAGAGTTGGGAGTCTCTGGTGTTGATAGTTTAGTGAGCCCTAGTGCATGTTTTCAGGTCTTAGCAAGTGATCTGGGAGAGGGCCTTGAATTTCCTCCCAGTCTTCTCAGGTCCTTGAAAAACATTGAAAGCAGAATGGAAATATTCACCATTATAGTAAGTGTTAGATGCTGGGCCTAGGACTCCCTGGGAGAGTATTTGCCTTTCCCTTGCTTATAGAAGGTCTGGGCTTAGTCCCCAGCACCACCAAAAAGATAAATAAAAAGTTAGCAGGACTAGAGATTGGGAGAGATCAAGTTGAGTCTCTTTGAAGTAGTGATTATATAGCAGCATTGATCAAAAACCTAAGAACATTCCTTTTTAAAATATATTTTTTTTAATTAAAGAACCATGATTTAAAAGTTACTAATAGTTAATACAGTAATTCAACACCAGTGTTTCCAGATTCCCTCCCCATCCCAACCCCCACTCCACTCTTGCTTGTCAACTCCACAGACACATTACAAAGTTTCAGTGGTTGTAGTTTAGATCTCATGTTTTCAGTTCTGATGAATCTGGTTTTTGGGTATATGGCTTTACCCCTCCCTTGTATCACTGGTATAACTGAAGCCCTGATTTCCTGTTAACCCATTACTTCTTGTTCTCTTCTTTCCTCCTTGAGTTCTTCTGTCTCTGTCTCCTCTCTATAAACACTGGGATCGAGGAAGATCTAAGCATCCCTTTTTTTCTACAATACATTTCCTCATCCAGTAGTCTGTATTCCACAGATAAGTGAGATCATCCTGTGTTTATCTTTCTTCTTCTGACTTCCTTCACTCAACATACCATCTTCCAGTTCCAACCTTGTTGCAGCAAATTGCATAACTTCATTTCTTAGAGCTGAGTAGTATCCCATTGTGCATATATACCATATCATTATAATCCGTTCATCTCTTTGGACACCTAGGTTGATTCCATAGCTTCTGTACTGAGTGCAGCAATGAATAATGGTGTTCATATGTCCTTTTGAGAGAGTGTTTTTATGTTCTGGGGATAGATGCCAGAAGTGGGATTGCTGGGTCATATGGCAATTCAATTTTAAGCTCACTGAGAACTCTCCATTCGCCACAGGGGTTGTACCTGACAACATTCCCACCAGCAGTGGATAAGAATTCCTTTTTCACAACATCCCCGCCAACACAGATTGTTCCTACTGTTTTTGGTATATGCCATTCTCACTAGTGTGAGTTAGTATCTCATCATTGCTAAGAACATTCCTTGACCAATATCCCCTCCTCCACCTTGTTTCCACTGTTGCAATGTCTAGAGGTTCACATACCACAAATAGGGACCGTAGACCTCACACATACAATGGGGGGGCGCTATCACATCCCTGAGCCCCCCACATGGGCTTTGTTCAAGTGTTTTTGTTCTTAAAATACAGTTGTATGGGACCAGCGAGACAGTACAGGTATTAAGCTTTTGCCTGGCAGGCTGCCAACCCTGGTTCAGTCCCCAGACCACATATCTCCCACCCCACGCACCATTATTCACAAAGTTATCAGGAGTAGCCCGCCCCCCTCCCCCCACCCACTCCCCCCCTCCCCGTCACTGGAAGTGACGCAGACACCTTCTCCCAACAAATATGATCTTACTCATTTCCAAATGTGTGAGGGTGACGTCTCCAGGGCATTTGGATGCAGTGCTTCCCAGGGTAGCACTTCCTGTTTCAGGTTTGGTTTGGTTTGCTTGCATTATAGATAATGGCCAGAATTACCAAAGTAAGGAGACTCGATAGTACAGTGGGTAGGGCACTTGCCTTGTTCATGGCCAACCCAATTTTGATCACCAGCATCCCAGCTCAGGGGTCCCCCAGTACTGCCAAGAGTGATCCCTGAGCTCAGAGCCAAGAGTAAGCCCTGAGTACAATTAGGTTGTCACACCAATACCAAAAAACAATGACAGACTGCAAAATTGAGAATTGAAACAAGTGGTGTCAAGGTATATTCATAGTAGAGTTCTAGAGGCAGAAGTTTTTGTTTATGGAACTAATATTTATTGAGCATGTACTAATCATTTGCTTGTCCAAACTGCCTGAAATGTGTTGTGATCTTTGGTCCCTGCTCTCCTAAGATTTTTGTCAGCATATTGATCAGCACATCGTGATTGTTTCAGTAGTGGTCCTCCAGAGGCTGGAGAAAACAGCTGGGATATACAGGAAGTTGAGGGAATCCGTCCAGTCAGAATGTTGCTTTTCCTGCTCTAATCTCTGCTTTGCCTAAAAGGGCTCTGATAAATAAGTGGTCTCACGTGGCCTTTTGTCCTTCTCCCAGGTGTGGTTCCCCAGAGTGCACCACCAGTGCCCACGGCTTCTTCCCGCTTCCATTTCCCGCCTCTGGATACCCACTCCCCCACCGGGGATGTGCAGCTGGGCCATTTCTCTGCCGGCCCCTTGAGCACTTCTGGCCAGGAGCCAGCGAACGGCAGTGAGAGAAAGGGAGAGCTGCCCGAGCTGGAGGACACCTCAGCCGCTGACTGGCGCCAGAACGTGGAGCTCATGTCCTCCCGGAGTGCTGTCGCCGGAGGAGGGATCGGCCCCCAGAAGCGCAAGCCTGACATCATGCTTCCCCTGTTCAGTCGGCCCGGCATGTACCCTGACCCCCACAGTCCCTTTGCCGTGTCTCCAGTCCCTGGCCGAGGAGGGGTCCTCAACGTCCCGCTCTCACCAGCTCTCTCCCTGACGCCCATCTTCTCCTATAGCCCGTCCCCAGGCCTCAGCCCCTTCACCAGTAGCAGTTGCTTCTCCTTCAACCCGGAGGAAATGAAACACTACCTGCATTCTCAAGCCTGCTCCGTGTTCAACTACCACCTGAGTCCCCGGACCTTTCCCCGCTACCCGGGACTCATGGTCCCCCCGCTGCAGTGCCAAATGCACCCTGAGGAGTCAGCCCAGTTCTCCATCAAGCTGCAGCCTCCGCCCGTGGGGCGGAAGCACCGTGAGAGGGTGGAGAGCAGCGAGGAGGCCGCCCCCGCCGTCACCACCCCGCCTGTGGCTCCTGTGCCCCCGAGAATCAAGGTGGAGCCAGCGCCCGAGAAGGAAGCCGAGAGCCCCCGGCAGTGTGCCAGCAAGAAGGAGGACTGCCTCCAGGATGAAAGCGCCGCGGGCGCCGAGCCCCACAGGACCAGGGAGGAGGGGAAAGGCGCTGTATTTGCCCGCCCGGCCGTACCTCCTGTCTGGCCGGCCGTGCCCCTGAGCAGCCCCAGTGAAGAACCCTTGGAAGTGGCAGAAGACAGTGAGGACAGGCCTGGCAGAGAGGCCAGTGCCCCCGAGAAGAAGGAGGATGCCCTGATGCCCCCAAAGCTGCGCCTAAAGCGGCGCTGGAATGACGACCCCGAAGCCCGGGAGCTGAGCAAGAACGGCGGCAAGTTCCCCTGGAGCAGCCCAGGGGCCCGGGGCCTGGCCACAGCAGCGGCAGATGCCTGAGAGTCATAGGGTTTGGCGCTGTCCATACTAGAACCCAACGCATCCGTGTATTTATGTAGCGAGATCGGGTGGGTGGGGGGCGGGGGAGGGAGTTAGGTTGGTTTGATCATTCTAGAGGCATAGACTTATATTTTTATGTTCAGGGAGGGGATGGGGCATCTTCTGTTGTAAATTAGGTGGGACATGAACACACTTAACTTTCCTGGTGAGCAGGCTACGGCCAGGGGGTGAGTGGAGAGGAGACGGAGCCTCCGTTCCCAGTGGAAGCTCCCCCTTCTGACAAACTCCCAGGGGGCCAGGCTCATCGGCCCGCCATTGTTCAGGTTCCAGGTTTCTTTCTATTGTATTTATATAAGGAAAGCCATCGATGAATTTCTCTTGCTCTGATGAATTTCTCTGGCTCCGACAGAGACCTCACCTCAAAAGGGGAAAGGGCGTGCTCGGGCTGAGCGGCGAGAGGCCATGAAGACTGAGCCTGCAGTGTTTCATGATACTAATCATCTCAGACTGGCTGGGTGTGGGGGCAATTTAGATGTTGTTCCTTTTTCTCTTTTTCTCCTCCTTGTTTTACTTTATTGTTGTTTGGCTCCCCACGCCCCTTTCCTTTTTGAAAACCCCTGGTTTCAGGAGATGTGGCACACTGCCAGGGAGGGTGCACAGAGCTGATGTCGGGACTGCCTGCGGCTGAGACCAGGAAGCCCCACTGAGAATTTCTGGGACTTTTCACCGATTAAGAAGCCATGAGGAGTTCTAAACTCTTATTCAGGGAAGAGAGAAAAGGGCAGAAGGAAGTAACCCAATGCCTTTAAGAACAAAAAAAAAAATGATGTTCACTTTTCCTTTCCATTGTGTGTTTGGGGAGCCAAACCAAAGCGGGACTGTGATCACGTCGTCTGAAGAGGGAGCCAGGAATCCGTCTCTGCACTGTCTGGTCTGTCCGCTGTTCTGAAGTCAAGCCTTAACGATGAACACACTTTAACAAGATACGGGTCCGACACCAGCCACCTGGAAAAGGGGTGTGGGCCATTTTCCCACACTCCAGGATTGTTGAAACATGGGTCCATTGGAAGGTGGCGCTTTAGCCATCCCCTCTCACTGTTACTGGGGTGGGTAGCAGAAAGGCAGAGCTGTGGAAGTGACGAGCAGGTGATAGCTGGGGGCAAGGAAGGTAGCTGGGGATTCAGATGGATGTTCATTTCGACTGAAGAGAGAGGTGGGCTGGAGGCAGTCTGGTAGGAGAGAGTCAAAAGTGTTGTGTCGAGGGGTTACCAGCTTCACTATGCCCATTTGCCGTGTTCATGCTCCACCCCGTCCTCATGCTCCACCAACTGTCCTCCAATAGACTGCAGTTTACAGACAGTGAGTTATTTCCTTGTGGGAAATGCCCTTCTGTCAACCTCGGAACAGCAGGGAAGTGTTGGTCTTACATGAAGCAAGTGGCCTGAGTAGGGCAAAAAGAAGCTGCAGCTGTGTGTGTGTGTGAGAGAGAGAGAGAGTGTGTGTGTGTGTGTGCGCGCGCGCGCGTATATGTGCGTGTATGCATGCGCCTGTCCATGTCTGTGTGCATGTATGTATGTGTGTGTGTGTGTGTGTGTGTGTGTAGCTAGTAGTGCTTGGAAGTACCTAACAAGGCACCGAAAGAAGCCGGCATCATGGAGGTCTGGTTCAGATCAGCCTGGCATCAGGGAGAAGAGAAATTCGTATCTGTGGGGCAAGGAGCCAGGCACAGGTATACTGTGTCGGAGAAATTCCTATCCACCGAAGCTGAATGGACTCTGTATCCTTAGAAGTCTGACTGCGGGGTTGTCTTTTTTTCCCCATGGAGGGAGAGTGATCCTTGGAATGTGTACATGAGAAAGGGACTCGGGAGGTTAGAGCAGGTAGGTGAGTTAGTAGGTGACCTGACTTGAGTTCGTCTCACTGTTTGGGACAATTGTCCTCCCTGTCATTTTGATTCAGATGCCACAAGTGACTGGTTTTTCCCTGGATATGGGATGAGGGGAGCCCCTTGTATCTCAGGCCTTGACCAGGCTGCCTTTAGTTGGTTGTGTTTTTGTCAGTTTCTCTAGCACCTCAACTTACCTCGAATCAGAAAGCTAGTCCGGGCAGGTGGAAGAGGGAATCTCTGCTTGGCATTGCCTGATCTAACCAGGGAGGCTGGCTGGCCGGCCCCCCTCCCTCTGTCCACAAGAGGGGAGCTGGCAAGTATCGTATGAACTCAGGAATAGAAACAAGAGGCCTTTAAAATGAGAGGGAGCAAAATCCATGATGCATACTTGTAAGCCCCTAGAACCCAAGTGCCAGAATTCATTCCTAGATGCTGCTTCTGTCTGAACAAAATCACTGCTTTTACACTTGAAGAAAACACACTCAAAAACTGTTGAACTCCAGAAAGCAATGTTTTGGGCTTTAGGATATTGGGGCCAGGGATGTGGCTCAGCAGTGATTCACATGCCTTGCATGCATAAGACCTGAGTACAATCCCCAGCACCACAAGGGGGGGGGGGGGGGGGAGTTCAGTGTGTAGCTATTTCCTCTGGTTGCCATTCCACCAGTATAAATTGTTGGCTGATTTGCACTGCACCCCAGGACTGTAGTTCAGGGGTGGTCCTTAGGAAGAGGGGTACTTGGACTTGCTTGGTACATGGGCCTGGGGGTAATAAGGCCATTTCTCAGATGTAGGAGGTAGTATCCCCCCAACTCTTTCATGACAGTACTTGTCACCTGCCTAGGACAGACTCAGACCTGCAAACATCTTGTCATTCTTCAACAGCAGATGAGGAAAGGGGATGAAACTAGATTTATTCTCTTCCCTGGTTTTTCCAATTTTGCTATGCCAAATGTATAAAACTTTGCAAACAGAAGTTTCGTTAGCCAAGAGCTTGTTCATCATAGGTTGCTTCTTTGACTATCGGAAAATAGTTGGGGGGCGGGGGGAGGAACTTTTTAGGGATTCCGGCCTTACTGAGTCTTGTTTTTAGTAGAATTGCTAGAAATGAAATATAAACAATTCATCAAGTCCCTTCAAGCTGCACTGCATTAACCCAGTATAGGGTTGTTCCCTAGTCTCCCATGGGCCAAGAAAACTTCTAAAGCATTAAATACACATAAACCCCAAGCAGATAGTGACTGTTCTTTGTATTTATTTATTCCATAATTATGTTTGTCCTTTTGGTTATGTCAACAGTGGAACACAATATTTTAATTTTGTTTGAAAGAATTTTAAACCAGTCTTTGAAGAATTGTTTCCTTTTTCTATTTTGGGGGAGGGGGGGCAGTGGGACAAAGTCATGAGGTTAATTTGTCTTGAAATATATAGGTATTCTTTGAGTTACAAAATTGTGAGGCAGGGATTTGTGACTGAGGCATTCACAAGTGAAAGATGACTTCACTAGTTACTTGCTTAAGCAAATTGTGTGTATATGTACATAAAATGTAAGTACTCTGAACTCCATTGTGCAGTGCCTTTTAGATGTTCCGCTTTCTATAAAGTCTTCAATTTTTTGCATATATATTATATATATGATGTAATGTTATAGAAATATATGTATAATATACATATTTTTTCCAGGGGTATCTGATAGCTCTGTATTTTGTTATGGAAGTTGAAAGAAAAAAGTATTTTACCTCAAAAATTAAAGTTAAATAAAAAAAACTTTTAAGTAATGTGCTGGTGTTGGTTTGGCTGTGAGTATGCTGAGGCAAGGCTCGCCTTCAGGTGACGCAGTCCCTTAAGATGCTAGAGCTAGCTGGAGTGACCAAGGACACAAGCCAGCGAAAATTGCCCCTCGAGATGGGAGGATTCTTTTGAAGGTTTTTTTGTTTTGTTTGGGCGCCACACATGGCTTTGCACTCAGGAATCACATCTGGCAGTGCTCAGAGAACCATATGGGATGTCGGGAATCAAACCCAGGTCAGCTCTGTGCAAGGCAAGCACCCTCCCCCCCTGTACTCTCTCCAGCCCTGAGACTGGAGGGTTCTTTAAGAGCACATAAAGCCAGACCACAAATGACCACACTTTGGTTCTGTTTGGATGAAAGGTCCAGAATCTTGGATGGGGAGTGGTTACCAAGAACAGCAGAAAGTGACAGGGCCTCATTTTCTCTGGGAATTCATGAAAATGTTCTGGACTAGATAGTAGTGATAGTTGTACTAGAAAAAAAGAATTCTCAAAGGGTGAATTTTATAGTACGAACAGTATCCATAAAGGTCCGGCTGTTTGGGGGCTGGAATGGTAGTGCAGCAGGTAGGACATTTGCCTTGCACATGGCCAACCCAGGTTCAATCTCCAGCATTCCATACAGTCCTCCGAGCCTGACAAGAGTGATCCATGGACTCAAGCCATGAATAACCCCTGAGCACCACTAGGTGTGACCCCAAAACAAAAGATGTTCTGTTTTTTTTTTGTTGTTGTTTTGCTTTTTGGGTCACACCCGGCAATGCTCAGGGGTGACTCCTGGCTCTGCACTCAGAATTACTCCTGGTGGTGCTCAGGGGACCATATGGGATGCTGGGATTCGAACCCAGGTTGGCCGCGTGCAAGGCAATGCCCTACCCGCTGTGCTATCACTCCAGCCCCAAGATATTCTGTTTTTAAGGAATGTCAAGTTAGTACTAGGGAAAACTGGTATTTTCCAGTAGAGGACAAGAATCCAGGGTGGGATGGCTCGGGGCTAGAAACTCCTGAGGTGTTATAATGAGTTTGATGCCTGCTGCCCTCTACGGGCACTGAGTCTGTGGCAGCTGTGCTTTCTGCGCTCCCTGTGCCCCAGCAGGGCTCTCCGGCATAGGAGAGCACAGTCCTAGGAGTGTGGCTAGCGGCAAGCCCCACAGTCATGTGTGATGCCTCCATCAGAGCGACAAAAGGAAGGGAAATAACCACGTAGAGATCTCTTAAGATCTCAACAGGGTTACTGCAACCAAGGTGGGTCCTTGTACCCCTGAACAGTCAGCAAAGGCCAAGTGAAGGCTGAATCAGTTCCTGTTCAGCTTGACTTCTGTTGAAGGGTCCTGTGAGTTCAGGGCAGCTGACCATGAGGCACTGGACTGGAGAGGCCAACTCGAAAGGTTATGCAGAATCTTTGAGGAGAGGTCTCAGGGACTTAATATTCTGGGGCTGTGGCGATAGCACAGTGGGTAGGGCTTTTGCCTTCCACGTGGCCAACCCAGATTTGATTCCCAGCATCTCATATGGTCCCCCAAGCACCGCCAGGAGTAATTCTTGAGTGCATGAGCCAGGAGTAACCCCTGAGCATGACCAGGTGTGACCCAAAAAGGGGAAAAAAAAAAAAAAATATATATATATATATATATACACATTCTACTCTGCAGGCAATGGCTATCCCCATTTTGTTCAAGGAGAATTTGGGCTGTACCAGTAAGCACGAAGGCTGTAGCCCTGAGAAACTCAGCAGCTTGTCCAGTGACTCTTGGCTCAAGAAGCTAACCATTTATTCATTTAGGCTAACAACTATTCATTTATGAAATGTTCATCCAAGAAGGGACAGGGCTAGCTGATTCCCTTCCTCCTGCTGCAGTGCTGCAAAGGTAAAGTGAGACTTGTTCGAGACTGTTTGGTTTTGGGGCCACTGGCCATGCTCAGGGATTACTTCTGGCTCCACACTCAGGGAAAACTCCTTGTGGGACTCAGGAGACCATTTGGGGTGCTGGGCATCGAACCCAGGTAGGCCACATTCAAGGCAAATGTCCTATCTGCTGTACTGTCTCCCCTGACCTTGAGATGGTTTGAAGAGCAGAGCAGTTCAGACTTCTGGTCCTGCCACCGTGTGTTGTCTGCAATCACATAGCATTTACCTTCTGAGCAAAGAGGAGTGGTAGGCAGGGATGAGGGAAGAGATGGGGTCTGGGGAGCCGGGAGGATGGGGGATAAGGGTGTCTGAGTGAGGTGTAATACCTTCAGTGGCTCCTTATTGTCTCCCTGTTAGTCTTTAGTTGAGCTTAGAAGGTTTTACAGGGCTGGAAACATAGTTCACTAGGTTGGAGCATAAATTTTGCATGCAGGAAGCCCAGGTTCCATCCCCAGCACTGCATATGGTTTTAGCAATCCATGAACACTGACAGGTGAGGCCCTATAACAAAGCATTTAAAAAAAAAAAAAAAAAGGAAGCCGGAGAGATAGTATAGCAGGTAGGGCACTTGCATGCAAGGCCTCTGACCTGGCTTCAATCCATGGCACCTCGTAGGTCCCCCAAGCCCCACCAACAGTAATCCCTGAGCACAGAGCCAAGAGCAAGTCCTGAGCACCACTGGGTGTGGCCCAGAATCTTAAAAAAAAAAATGTAGGGACCAAAGAGATAGGAGATATAGTACAGCGGGTAGCGTACT